GTTCTTGACCAGAAACAAATGAACCTCAAAAGGCTTCGAGTCTCCCAGCACATTATACGTCAACAACTACTACTAGACGTATGTAGATGTCTTTGGATCACCTTTGTTCCAAAAAAAATTGCTTATGCTGTGCAGTTTGATTGTAACCCCAATTATATAATGATTCAATAATAAAGCTCTTAAGTCTGAAAGAAAACGAAGACGTACGAAGCGTCCAATATAATTAACTAGGGTCCGGCCCAAACATTGCAAGCGTACCTCCTTCTGCTGGATAAGATCAAATCCACCCGCCGTACATACGTGCGTACGGCGTCGGCGCAGATGTCTTCCCAACTCCCCGACGAACTCCTCGACCTGGTCTACGGCCGGATCGCCAACCCGCTCAGCCGCGTGCGCTTCGCCGCCGTCTGCAGGGCTTGGCGCGCCGTCGCATCCTGGCGCCCGCCTCCGGCGCCTCTCCCGATGCTGGTCCTCTCCACGTACGACCGCGCCAAAACCAAGGACCTCTACTGCCTAGAGGACGAAGGGGTCCTGCGTGTCCGTCTTACAGTCACGCCCAAAGGCGTGGCCCGCAAGTGGATCGTCGGATCTCACCAAGGTGGATGGGTGGCCATGGTGTCTGTTGTTGGACCCATCCTGATACTCAACCTCTTCTCCCGCGCCAAAGTGGTGCTCTCGACTGAGAAAAGGAGGATTGACCCTAGCCATAACTCCGTCGACCCCTCCAAAGTCTCCAAAATCATCTTCTCCGAGGAACCCACCTCCGAGACATGCATCCTCGCCGCCATCACCCATGGCTGCATGGCCGCGCTTTGCAGAGTTAATTGGGCTAAAGGGTGGACCGTGCAAGCATGTGGCACGGGAATCCTCAAGGATATAGCCTTCTTCCATGGGGAGCTCTACGGGCTCCGGCTAGATTATCATGAGGTCAGACTGCTCAAGTTTGACATCGGCGCCGGCGCAAATGAACCTGTACTAGTCACGATCATCGAGGCAGTTGTCACCCAAATCCTTCCTTATCTCTTGTGGGAGGATGACGATTATGCGCATGTGCATGCCATCTACATCTTCGAGATGGGCAACAAGCTGACTATGGCGGTCAAGACCGGGGAGTATTTCTTCAGGCTATTTGAGCTAGTCCGCCTAGTCGTCGATGTCAACACACACTATAGGTGGGAAGAGATGACAAGCTTGCATGACTATGCATTGTTCTTGGGCCCAACATGCTCCACGGCTGTGGAGGTGTGTGCGGAAGGGCGTGGCGGCGTGCAGAGGAACCACATCTATTACTCCAACGAAAGATATGGCCATCTTCCTTCTCATAAGAGGTATCTCACAAAAATGGCCGATGGCCGTGCCGTGTACTACGACGATGATGAATTAGTTTGTTACGACGGGAAGGTGATTATGTCGCAAGGATTTTATGGGGAGCGTGGCGTTCAAGCTGCCATGTGGCTTGTCCCACCGCACGTGTAGAAACTAGAACGACTTCAAAATCAAAGTTTGTGATGACAGGAAGGTGATTTTGTCACGTCGATTTTATTCTGTATAAGCGTGGCGTTCAAGCAGACATGTGGCTTGTCCGACCATACATGTAAATTAATAGATATTTCTAGCACCATGCTTAATTTGGTCATTATCAATGGCAAGGCACTAGCTTGCTACTGCGATGAAAATCGTCTCATGACTGTGTGCATTGTGTGATGCAGAGCCCCAGGTATGTCCTCCTTTTCGAAGGGAAAAACGTCACGTCGCTTACCATTATTTTGCCGGCCCTAAACAAGCCTTGGAGAGGCCAGATCTCAATGTGGCATTTTGGAGAGATGTCAGTACCGTTGGGTGTTGTACAAGAATTTTGCAAATGCACTTTATATGTAAATTCGAAAGTTAAGGAAGATAGTAGTATAATACTTCAGCAAGTAAAACTTTTGCAAGGCCCAATTCCCCTCGAAAAAAATAACTGGCCCAATTGTGCAAGAGAGAATATGACTCACATGGCCGACGATCCTACAATCCTACGATATGCAGTTGCCTATCACACAACCTGACCCGGCCTCTCGCCTCTCACGACAGTCAGCAAACGCTATAAGCGGTGGCGCGGCAGAGTATAGGGCAGGGGAATAGCCACGGCGGCGCAGATGGCCGTGCCCCCCATGCCGATCGACGAGTCATCAACAAACCGCAACGTCTGTGTCGCGATGCAAACCGGCGCAAGGCTAGTAGGGAGCAATCGCATGAGGGCGAGGTGGCAACCCAAGGCAATGCCGTTCAAGGACCCGAAAGTGAGGATCCTCGGCGGTATGCAATTCAACATTGGTTCTATCTCTAATCCCTCGTCTAACTATTTGTCATGCAGAGGTTGGAAGTGTGCTAATTCACATGCTTAATTATTATTCACAAGTTCAGTACTGACATGCTGTCAAATAAGACAATCGGGAGCCAAGGAGCAAACCGCAAAATAACCTCTTGGACAACAAAAAAAAAACCTGGCGATAAATGGTAGTGAATTGCTGAAGCAGACCATTCTGTCATTTACAACTTCCCTAGTGAACTGCTCTCCATAATGAGTAAATAGCATAAAACTACTACTTTACAGGCTAAGGTTACAAAAAACTACCGAATATATTTTTTCCGCTGATAACTACCAACTCAGGGGTCGGCTGTTTCAAAAAACCCAAATTCGACGTTGCTAACATTTTAAACCGGTTTATGACAGGTCGGGACCGCTCCTAAACAATCCGTTTGTTGACCCTTTTGTTTGACAGTTAGCTTATTGTGGGACCCACATGTAAGATGTTTCTTCTTCCTCCTACCTTTTCTTCCCTCCTCCTGTATTTTTCTTCTCTCCCCCTTGCCCGAGCTGCAGCTCCTCCAGGTCCTCCACCACTCACCGATGGCCACCTCCACCACTCATCGACGGCCACATCTATTATTCCAACGAAAGATATGGCCATCTTCCTTCTCATAAGAGGTATCTCACAAAAATGGCCGATGGCCGTGCGGTGTACTACGACGATGATGAATTAGTTTGTTACGACGGGAAGGTGATTATGTCAAAAGGATTTTATTGCGAGCGTGGTGTTCAAGCTGCCATGTGGCTTGTCCCACCACACGTGTAGCGGACTAGCAGGATGTCAATATCAAAGTTTGTGACGACGAAAGGTGATTGTGTCGTGTGGATTTTATTCTGATTGTGGCGTTCTAGATTTCATACATGTAGCTAGATATGTCTTGCACCATCCATAACTCATTATCAATGGCAAGGAACAAGCTTGCTAATGAAATGAAATTGCCTCATGACTCTGAGTATTGTGTGATGCAGAGCCCCGAGGTAAGTCCTCCTTTTAGAAAGCCAAAATGTCATGTGCTTACTATTATTTTGCCGGCCCTCAACAAGCCTCAGAGAGGCCATACGCCCATACCTCAGTGTGGTTATTTTGGAGAGGTACGAGTATCACTGGGTATTATACAACAATTTCGCAATTACACTTCATATATAAATTATAAAGTTAAGGAAGCTAGCAGCATAATACTTCAGCAAGTATAATGATCAGGTACCGAGTTTGAACCAGAATACGGAAAACACTCAAAAATCTCTCAGTTGATCGATTCGCTTCGTGGGCCACCTACATTGCGGTGCACGTGTCCCTGTGGGGTCCACCCGACTGCTATCCTTAACACTAGAAACCTGCCCCCATCAACTTGTTTCTCCTCAAGTTTGTCTTGTTCCGTTGATAGAGTTTTCTAACAACTCTCTCTGGCCACCGTGTAGTAGTCTCAGCCCCGTTGCTGCAAGCCAGGGGGGCCACAGAAAGGCGACCACGTTTGCCACCGGAGGCGCGGTGCTGCAGGAGAACCTCCAGCCACGGCTTCGCAAGATTCTGCCACTACCCCTGCCACGCATCTTGTTGTACCGTGCTGCAACCCACCTCATTGCAACAGCCGCGGTTTTCTACAGGCCAGGGGCGAGCCAAAAGACACTGATGTTGCACCATCGTTGATGTTGCAACCCACCCATTGCGGTAGCTGCCTTTGCTGCAGGACGGAGGCGAGCCAACATCGATTGATCCCTGCAGCTCCCATCCAGTATCAATCATTAACAAGTTCAGTACTAACGCACCGTCAAATAAGACGACCACACCAAGGAGCAAAATAACCTCTTAGACACCAATTAACCTACTGACAAATGCTTGTACTTACAGGAACAGATTTACCTGAATCAAGCCATGCAGTCATTTGCATGTTCAGTACTGAAGTGCTAATACAACCACATACCAAGGATCAGAGTAGTCTCTTGGAACTACTTTTTGGAACAAGATTTACCTGAATCAAACCATACTAACATTTCCTATAACAACATCTATGAGATCAGTTTTGCTTGTGGCATGCAGATCATTTTTGCTGCTATTACGGAAAACATGTCAAACCCTTATGTATTAAAACCAATTTGGTGGCTTAGGTTCAGCACTTTTTCTGCTACCCATCTAAGCTGGGAGGGTTATGATACTGTTAATCACTGTAATGTCTTTGTATTGACTCATCATCAGAGCTGAATGTGCAAATATATAAGACCTTTGTTGCGGTTGGACTTGATTCATCTGTAGCGGGTGTTCGTCATGTTGCTTCAATCCATAACATTTTGGAGTATGAAGAAACATACACATTTGGATAGGTAGAATTATGCTGTTTGATTCTCCTGACATTTTCGATAACTAAGCTAATCAGGTTAGTGTAGCTCCACGTAAAACACAAAGAAACAACAGTCGATCAGAACAAAGCGAGCTCATTACATTATTCTACTTCACATATGATAGATGCCACCTGGCTAAGAACCCGGTTACAACAAGTTTATAACATTACAGAGTGTGAACACAGAGTTTATTTAAAAAAACAGGATGAAGAAATGGAGCAGACATGGAAGCAAAGAGACCAAATGCACAAGGTAAATGAATGCATAGGAGAACCTCCAAAAACGTTGATGAGCTCCGGCTTAAGCAGAACTACCGAGGATACCTTGAAGATAACATGAACTCCTCTTCCATACTATACTGTCTGGATAACTCCTCGGTCCCACTTCCATCTGCAGTCGCTGGACAATTTCTTACATTACCCCCCTCATGTTCCCTAGATGCTTGAGTGCCTTCGAGCTTGATCTCCACTTGCTTCATGGACGGACGATCCTCTCCTCTTAATGTTATACACATGGCTGCAAGCGCCGCGACTTCTTCCATTTCACTGCCTCCCTCTTCCATAACTTGCAGATCTAGTATCTCTGATAATTTGCCTTGTGTGAATAAGGTAGTAAAATGTGTAACGAGGCCTTCATCTTCCGAAGAGATGAATGAAAATGGTTTCTTTCTAGTCAACAACTCCAGAAGCAAGACACCAAAGCTGTACACATCACTTTTTTCTGTGAGACGCCCGGTGTAGAAATACCCAGGGTCCAGATATCCTCTTGTACCTTGCACTCTTGTTGTGATCCCTGATCTATCCAACGGAACATACCGTGAAGCTCCGAAGTCTGCGACCTTTGCTGTTAGAGTATCATCCAAAAGTATGTTAGCAGACTTGATATCTCTATGGATGATGGGTACTGAAGTTGTTGAGTGAAGATAGGCTAAAGATCTAGCAGTCTCAACTGCTATCCGTAGCCTATCATTCCATGACAATGATCTTGGTCCATCAATATGAAGATGATCATAAAGGGTGCCGTTGGATATAAACTCGTAGACCAATATGGGGACCTCTGTTTCAAGGCAACAACCATAGAGTTTTACGACATTTCTATGGTTGATCTGTGATAGGATAGCAACCTCATTAATGAATTCATCAATCTCCTTTTGAATCACCGCCTTTGGTTTCTTGATGGCTACAAGATGAAGATCTGATAGGATCCCTTTGTAGACTGTGCCATGCCCACCACCACCAAGCTCGCGAGCTTTATCAAATCTGTTTGTTGCCTTCTCAAGCTCATCTAAGGTTATAATCATTCTTTCTGCAATATCAGCTCTTTGTGATACCAATTGTTGCAACAATTGTCCACGGTTTTTTTCGAAGAACTTCTGTTTCAACATCTGCGCTCTTCGATGTTTGAACTTCTTATGTGTGAAGGATCCAGCAAGAAGAAATAGTACGATGCATGCCCCAACAGCAACTCCTATGCTGACGAGGTATATACCTGCAAAGATGTACAATAGTATTATTCATTTTCTCTATCATTGGAATAGTATTATACACTTGGTCTACAGTTACTCAGCAGCAGGAGTAATCAACAAAGTTCACTCAAGTAACTTTTTGGCTTCCTGAGTTCATATGACACGAAGAAAATTGGTTTCAGAATGTTCAAGATTTCAGATAAATAATTTTAAATTTCAGACTTCAAGTTGGACCAAGAAAACATACAGCAAGTTCTCTTCTTATCAATTAAGTCGATTAGTATGTACACTAGAATGCCAATAATTATTGCTTGAAACAATTTTCAAGGGAAATACAGTACTTGTCTTGATCTGTAATTAAACAGAAGGAAGAAAGTTGCAGCTTTGCTCACCTGTAGATAAGGGCTTGCGGCCACCTGGAGGCAAAAGTGAGAAACACTAGCTTAAAAACTACATATATTAGAGGAACAAGAAAATTAATAGCGTAAACACGTTTTATGTTAGAATCGTAAATAGATGTTCTAACCTTTGCATCCGTCGGCGAGGTAGGGGTTGTTGCCAGGCTTGTCGTAGCCATCCATGCACTGGCATAAATAGCCTCTGCTCCCACGTTTGCAATAGCTGTTCTTGCTCTTGCAGAGCTTGCGGACTACCTCTACTGGACAGCCCGGATGCACCTTCATGTTAGCTAGTCGTGGTAAGCCTTGCATGACCTCCCACTGCAGAACTACGGGAACCTGCACCTTGGGTATTTCGGATTCCTCCTGCCCTGCTATCTCCTTGGACAGCTGTTGTTGATCGAACCACCCCTCCTCTGCGATTAGCATGTACGCGGGCTGCAACGTCAACTCCTGGCCATCATTCTTGTTGAGCTTTTGAACTATCAACAACGTGGAAATGTCGTTGGAAGACATGGGGATATTCGCCTGACAGCAGCCCATCCCATTGCAGTATCTTCCTCTACGCTGCAGTGCCGTCTCCACATCGGTGCCACTTATATTGGAGGGGCAGAAGGAGGCACAACCACTGATGAAAACCTCAGGGCCACCCCCAGTCAGCGTCGCCTGAAGGTTGCAGCCCGACAGGATGAACTCGTTGCCGGTCGATAGTGAGTAGGGCGTCCCAGAGAAATTGAAAAACGTAAAATTACCAGGTGAATCGCTGGGGTCTATATGCATGATGGAGTAGGTGCTGAGGCGCATCGTGTTGTTCTGGAGGGAGATCTCCGTGACGTGGAAGGGGTACTCATGGAGGACGAGGAGTAGCTTTGCTGGCCGTTGGCTTGTATTACAGGCGAGGTTGAACCCTGGCCAGTAGCAACCGGCAGAGCCAATTCCGAAGGGGTATGGCACGTTTATGTCACCGCAGGATGTGCTGCAGTTACCTATTTGATTGATAAAGTAGCAACGTCATTATTCATTTACTTCAATGTAAAATGGGTATGGGCTGCCTCTTCTTCCTCCCCTTCAGATAGCACATGCTGGAAGTTGTAATCAGATATATACGGATTGATTTTTATTTCCTTCCTCATTGTACATGTGGAGAACTGGGGATAGCTTCTGTAGCCACACGTAGGAGAATGCCAATCACTCGTTCATGGAGTGCGCTGTAATTAACATAATCTGCAGGGCTATCCCCATTCCTAATAATAGTTTCAGGTCGTGGTGCCGTGGTGGTTCAACACATGTGAAAGGTTGTAGGGGAAAATGAAGAAGTCGTTTAATTCGCTTGTAATATTGGTCGTCTGGTCGATTTGGAAGGAAAGGAACAATCCAGATGTTTGAGGACAAGATCACGGAAGAAGCCAAGCGATGTGCCTTGCCAACAGCGAAAGAAGGAATTTCCCCATAGACACTGGAAAGTTTCTTCCTCGTTGCTTTCCTGCCCTCATGTGTGTTTTATTCCTAGGTCGTTTGGGTGTGTGAGATTTTGCTCCCTGTTTTTTTGTAGTGCAACTTTTGTACTGGTCGTTTGGACCTCTGTTTTTTCTCATCCATATATTTACATGCAGTTCTCTAGTATGGTTCGAAAAAAAATGTATCTCTCACTCGTGTATATGGCCAGAGTGGTAGATCTCATGTTCTCGTATCAGTGCTGTTTATGGCCAAAATGGAGCTTTGCTAGAGATCGGGTGAAGTTCGTTTCTTATTTTAGAATGTCTTAGACCCAAAATAGTCGGACCCTTCCCTAGACCATGCGCAAGCAAGCGGGAGCTACATGCACCGGCTGCCCTTTTTTCAACTTAATGATCCTAATTGTACTTAGAACAACTCCAAGAGTTCCCCTAAAGAACATCTAGTAAAAGTTGTTTCACGGGATGGCAGTATAATTTTAGACATTTTTCTCAGTTCCCGTAGACATCATCCCGTAAAATCTTTATTTTTCTATTATCAGTTTAAATACTCTAGCAAAAATCATAGGGCCCGCATGTTAGTGACGGAGACGGGATGGCGAGTGACGGCAGCGCGTGGCTGCGGTGCACAGGAGCGGCGGCAGCGGCGATGATGACGTGTGGCAGTGGCGTGCGTGGCGGAGGCGGTGGCCTCACGTACTCGGCGGCGACGGCAGCCTTGCTGATGCGCCGGCGGCGGCGGCGTTCCGGCGGTGGCGCGGAGTGGTCCAGCGTTCTTCTCATGAAATTTCATGCGGTTATCCACCCGCCAAAATTATACGCGAAGGCCATCTTCCCGTAAACGTGGAGGATCGAGGAGGTGTTTCTACGGGATCCGAAAAAAATTTGCCAGGTTTACGGGAGCTGTTGGACGCCTTTTTTCTGCCCCAACTTCCCATAAACGGTATTTTTTTAGATATATAGCAAAATTCGCGTATGGTTTATTGGATGAGTATTTTAAACATTGTTGCTGCTTATATTTTTTGGCAAAAGTTTTATCTGCAAAAAGATTTTCGCTGATTTGCTAGCAACGGTCTTCATGCTCAATTGGTTGGCTTAAGTGGTGAGCTACTGAATCATTTGCGCTCATTTTGAAGTTGGGGCAAGGAGATTTCAATATTCATTTTCGGCCTTAGATGCGAATCTCCAATTTTGATGTTTTTTGGAGGGAAGTCTAAACTAATAGTTCTGTAACAAAATGACGTTTTTCATGAGTAGATTTGCAAAATTGGAGTGAACAATACTAATCCCTTGATGATTTATTTTCTTGTTTAAGTCCGCCTATGGTTTCTTCCTCTTGCTAAGTAAATCCGTACAGTCTCACTAATGTGACTCTATGTTTGTTTTGTATATAATTCATTAGCTTAATGTCAGTTTTAGTCCTGCATTTGTTCTCTAAGATGATGTCACTAAATAACTAACTGTCAACTCAGTAGTTGGCTAGTTGATGTATGTGGTGTTGAACTTTTTTTGTGCTTGTTGAGAGATGCATAGGATCTGTTCTTTCTTGTTCATCCCTTATTTGCCTTCATCTTGATAGTAATAACAAATGAGATTGCCGCAATATTGCTTACCTGGGACGAAATTGATGAAGCAGGCATCAGGCATCGTAGGGTCGCCATGGGTTCCAGGCGGACACCGGCAGTCATGTGATCCATCCGAATTGGTACAATCACCATAGCACGTTTTAGGGTACTGTTCATTGCACTCGTCGATATCTACACATAGCCGAACCAACACATGCTAGCATTAAGCAAAGAGAAACCTCCAAAGTTTATTCCTCGTCTCAAATCAGGAAAAGAAGTTACTATTAACAAAGAACATACCTTTGCATCCATTGGTGATGTAGGGATTCCCTTGGTAGCCATCATTGCATAAGCATATGTAGCCTCTCTTACCCTTTATGCAGTCACTGTGCCTGCTCTTGCAGACGTTGGAGCACTCTGCGCCATGGCCAACAACCTCCCAATCCAGCAACAGGGGAAGTTGTATTGCATCCGCTGACACAGGGGCATCTGTTCGAAATAGCTCCTCTAAGACCGGTGTATGGCTGAACCAATCATACCTCGCAATGAAGACGTATGCCGGCCACTGGTGGTCCGCGCTGCGGTTCCAGCCGAACCATTTGAGCTGCACGTCGTAGGACGTGCTGCTGGCAAGCCTTCCTACTACGTCCGCAGGGTCGAAGACAATGTCCGACTGGCAGCAGCCACTGCCAGAGCATTGCATGCCTTCTTCGAGTGTGGATCGCACATGGGAGAGTCTATCACCGTTTTTGCAGAAAGAAGAACAGCTGCTCACGATCACATCACTGTTCTTGAGTGTCGCCTGAACATTGCAGCCCAGCAGGATGAGCTTGTTGGATGAAATCGTGTAGGGCCCGTTGGTGGTAAGACCACCGCCGAGTGTGCCTTCACCATTGCCATTGACTTTTATGTCGCCCGTGCGTATGACGGCCACAAATGTCGACCAGTTAGTGAGGGAAAATTCTTTGACTTGGAGGGTGCCGTCGCCGAGCAGCAACCAGGGCGGGTTGCTTGTGTGGTTGCAGGTGAGGTTGAACCCCGGCCAGTAGCACCTAGCCGGACCCATGCCGAACGGGTACGGCACACTTATGTTGCCACAGGTGATGTCGCAGTCGGGCATCCCTTGCACCTCCGCCGGATAAACTTCTGCTCCAGCAAGGAGCGGCGATATCAGCATCGCCGCTGCTGCAGCCGCCATCAGCACCCCCAAGATGGTTGTTATGTGCGCCATTGAGTGGTTGAGCTTGTCTGCCTAGCTAGCTAGCTCCTGAACCGTGCATCGCTCTCCAGCCGGGCCGGCTTATAAAGATGGCGCGCACTCTTGTTGCCCGGACCTGCTGCGTGTGGTAAAAGTAATTTTCGACAAGTGAGAACCAAGGGCATCTCCAAGGGGCGGGGGTCCAATGTCCACTCCATCTATCAAAAACGTGTACCATTGTACCCAAGGGACAACGCCCAGCTGTCCATGTATTTTATCGAACAGGCTGTGTGCCCCGTGGATGAGCTGTGGAGTTGCGGTGATGGTCAGAGAGGGGGGCGTCCGTCAGACCGCATGATGCTCTCGTCCGCCGGACGGCCGCGCTCGCCTACCAGTGCAATAGCAACCGGTAGCAGCAAGCACGCGCAACAGCACATGTAGCATCCACGCGGGCGCGGCGACCAGGAAGATGGCGGCGGCAGCGCGCCCGATGGCATTCGCGACCCGTGCACGTATGTCATCGAAGTATCGAACAGGTTGTGTGCACCATCGAGTGTGGCCAGGCTTTAGGTGAAGGTGGCCAGGAAGAGTTGCAGAGCTTCGTACGTGGGAGCGAGAGAGAGAGAGAGAGAGAGTTAGGGGCCGGAGACGGAGGGACCTGAGGCGGGGCACTCCGGCGAGGTGGC